TTTTGTGTTTTTTTAGTAATATAAAATGGCTCCAATTCGGACCCTTTATTTTTTTATTTTTTTTTTTTTTTTTTTTTTTTTTTTTTTCTGGCATTGTGGTATTCTGTATATACAGAAACCTTTTAATGGTTTTGGATTGTACTCTTGTTCTGCTATTTGGTTTTAAATGTTGTTTATGAGCACCAAGAATTTTTGCATTATATTTTTAAGAAATGCATTTGTAAAATATCATACTTATAGCCTGGAGAAGTATTTTTTGGCTCTGCTCCCATGCACATTTGCTGGGTTCCTCCAGGGACTTCTCCATTTTCACTTTTCGTTTGACTTTTAGAGAGTATTTGAACCATTTAGCAGAGCAAGAATTACACGCTATTCCCGCAAACGTCTGCCTTATTGGACACGTCTCTTCGTGTTGCACTGTAGGTCTCTCTCTAATATGCAGATGAGACTCAGTCATCATTAGTTATGCATCTTCAATTAGCGCTCGCTGCTGGTTCCCTTTCCAGTGTCTAAGCAATTCACTCATGCTAGCCATGATCCCGGCGCATTTGGCAGCTTTTGAAATGGTTTGTGGTAATGTGAGGCTTCCACAAATTTACTTATACAAAGCAATTGCCACTCTTATGAAATCGAGAAAAACACTTGCTTGTAAATACTTGATTATAAATGCTTCTTTACATGTTTTCATCATTTCATACTTAGAAAAACACACAGTAAGTCTTCTTTTTCTGTACAGATGGTGTATTTGTCTTTGTGTTTTTGTGCCTTCATAAACGTAATGTCTCAGTTCAGATGATTTTTATTTTTTTAAGTGTGCTGATTAATTCTACAGTGTAAATTACAGTGAAACTAGCTTTACCTTGCTGAGAGTGAAAACAGCTGGTTACACAAAATTTCCTGCATGAATTGAATGTAAAAATAGATTATATCTGTGTTATTTAAGTAGAATTATAAACTATTATAATCTTTCAATTTAGCTTAAGTTTTAATCATTTTGTCGTGCTTTTGTCATTTTATATTAGTGTTTTATATATATTTCTATGAAGCATTATTTTTGTTTTACTTTTAATTTGAGTTATTTTACTACTTCAACTTAAACTTATTTCATACAGTTAGTTGTCAATGCAACATTCCTAGTTTTCATTTAAGTTAGTTTTTCTTCTAATATTAATATTTGTTTTATTTTATCTTTATTTTAATTACTGAAAACCATCATTTTTAATTAACAATGGCAACACTGGACTATATAAATGAATTTCCTCAGCCAGCCTTTCACATTGCCAAATTATAAAAATATCACACACAAAGAGAATGGCAAACCCGTATTATTTGACTGTTGATGATCTATATGATATCGGTAGCACTTACTCAGATGGAGTTCTGAAGCATCAATAAGGTTTATACATTTTAATGCTCTTATTGATGTCTGAAGGTTTCCTGTCTTCTCATGGCCAGTTAGGTCAACTGAGATGCCTATAAAGACCATCAGTACAATTAATGTTATGACTCATTGGCATATCACATCATGTGGCTCCCTCATTGTAAGGGCTATTATATCCCACTGGTGTGTTTCATAATGACACACTCGTTTTCCTTCAGGACTCATTTGAGGTATAATACCTTAAGGTGTTTGTCAGTGTCAGTACTATCATGTCAGTATGCAGTACAGCAACCACTCAGGTAACTGGTTTAGACCCTCATCAATATTACGAGAATGCAAAAAATGGTTCCATGTCCCATTAGCTGGAGGAATGTATTATCAGAATGAAGGTGGTGCGCTACAGGCGTGCACTTTCATCGCTCTTTTTTTGTTCTGCTTGTCGTCAGGGAGACAAGTGTTAGCACTGCTGGCTCAAAATGAGAAGAGCAGGTGTTTCTTGGTGGATCTGACCTAGTACCTCTGTTAGATTTGCTGGAACACAACCGCATGGGCTAGTTCTGCATCCTACTAGAGTTAGTCCAGTCATAACATTAGCTTGTTGTCTAGATTCATAGGTATTGCCTTGATCTGTTTGTTTACCGCTTCTTGCCACTGCCACTGAATCTACAGCACAACAACAGAAATCATATTTTACCCAGTGTGAGTTTAATGTCTGAATAGAATATAGTGAGATAAAAACACTGTGAATTGGAAAATACGTCTAGGCTAGAAACACTTCTCTCTGTTGAGTAGTACTCGCAAGCTGCATGCAAAGACAAATGTACTTGCGTGACAAGTGTAAGTTCAATTGATGAGCAAATGACTCTTCTTTTAAAGAATTGTTCAAAAAGACTTTGAATCAGTCTGATGAATCGTTCACTTAATATACTCATTGAATCAGAGTCAATTCTGAATCAACATCTGCACTTACAGAATAGCATGTTATCATTATCATTAGTGATGTCTGTTTTGAAATGCAGCCAGTTCTGTGTTCTGGTGTAGTATGGTATTATTGAATTATATATTGGTATTTTATTTAAAACATTTTAAAAATGATATAAAAAAGATTTAAATTAGACCAAAAAACTACAAAAAATGCATTAGAGTCATTTCTTTCCAGAGCTTTTTGTGTGCATTTATATAAACACATCCTCCACCCCCAAAGAGGGGGTCTTGGCCTTTTCGGGAGGGTTAGATGACTGTACAGTCATGTAGAAGTGGTTAGGCATGTCCAGTCCTCTTAGGATGGACTCCTTTCACCTAAAGGGCTTGTGCATGTTTAGGAATTCAACATTTTCCTTGAGGACATCGCTGGGTCACATACATTCCATCTTGTCACAACGAGAGATCAGACAGAGCTCTGATAGCAGGTGTGTGTGATGGGCTGTCGTATAAACTGAATGTACTCAGTCTGGTAGAATTTCAAACATTGCCAGTAACTTCCTTTGGTTTTTATTTCAGTGATCTCTTTCTTCTAATGACTCACTATCCACAGTGGCTACATGCTGTATTATGTTAGTGGCATTGCTTTCTTCAATTGCTCCTGCTTAGGTTAAAGGGATAGTTCACCCAAAAATGAAAATTCTGTCACTCACCCTCATGTCATTACAAACCGGTAAGACCTTCATTCATCTTCAGAATGTGCGATGCATGCATGTGTTTTCCTCTGCACGTAAACAAGGCGCAGCGCATGCGTGCTCTACGTCAGCAGCACCACATGCATGTTGTTTATGTGCAGGAAAGCACACATATGCATCGTGATACTCTCCATAATGGCAGAAGACGGTAACTCGCAGGAGAATAATTGTTGAATAAAGTTGTTATTTTTGTTTTCTTTGCACACAAAAAGTATTTCCGTAGCGTCATAAAATTACAGTTGAACCACTGATGTCACATGGACCATTTTAACAATGTCCTTACTATGTTTCTGTGCCTTGATCGTGGAAGTACCCTTAATGTCTATGGAGGGTCAAAGAGCTCTCAGATTTCATCAAAAATATCTTAATTTGTGTGCTGAAGATGAACGAAGGTCTTATGGGTTTGGAACGACATGAGGGTGAGTAGCTAAAGACAGAATTTTCATTTTGGGTGAACTACCCCTTTAATATGTTATTGTTATGCTAAATACAGTATATATATATATATATATAGTGGGTACGGAAAGTATTCAGACCCCCTTAAATTTTCCACTCTTTGTTATATTGCAGCCATTAGCTAAAATCATTTAAGTTAATTTTTTTTTCTCATTAATGTACACAAAGCACCCCATATTGACAGGAAAACACAGAATTGTTGACATTTTTGAAGATTTATTAAAAAAGAAAAACTGAAATATCATATATATAGTGGTGGGACGACCAAACGACAGACACAGTGGGTCTGGCGTCAGGCCTCGGAGAGGCTTTTATTAACAAAAAAAATATAACAAAGTGTCCAGGAAAAAGGGGAAAATAAAACCGGGGATCTGGTGTCCTCGTCGTGCTGCAGGGAAGGGCAGTGGTCAGGAAGGAAGGGTCCAGGTAAGGAGCGGAGTCTGGCGGCTTCGTCCTTCTCTAGGTCCACGGTGCTTGAAGGGACTAGACGGCCCGGCATTCTAGCCCGACGGCCGTGTAACGGGTGCGGTTCTCGTCCGGACCATGGTGTGTGTTATATATGTCATTTTTTCCTTGTATATATTATATCTGGGTGGAAGTGTACATGTTATATTTTGTGGGAGTTTATAAGCAAAGTGTTCATAAGGTTGTGTCATTTTATTACATTTTCATACATTCTTATAGAACATTTTTACACTTGAAATTTAATTTAGTTTGTCTTTTTTTTTTTTTAAATCAATATTTTTGTACTAATTTAGAAAGTTCCTGTAAAAATGTACATCAAAAGCAATATACATTGTAACTGAAATGTACAGAATCAAATCAGATCAAATGAATCCGGATCAAGTCAAACTGAATCCGAATGTGGGAATGAAAGGAGTCATTGAATGGGAATGGATTTTTAAGGTTGCACAAGGACTTTCCCCATTCCACCTTTTAGTTCAGCTTTTTGTGCTTATCTTTTGCAGAACGATAATGCAATGCAAAAGTCCCACTTTTGTGACACCATTATTATCCCTCTTATCCATTATGTCATAGCCACTCTCCCTCTTCCACACATTTGTTCTTTCCTGACTGCCGTTTTTACATGGCTTTCTCGCTCTGACAAACAGAACAATAAATGTTTGTGCCAGGCTGAGGTTTTTGCAAAGAAACAATTCCCACTCGCGTTTATTTTCTGTCTGTCTTTCTCTCACTCTCATTCTGTCCCTCTGTGTCTCTTTCTCTTTGATTCACACCTTCTTGTCCTCTCTCTTCTTATCCCTGTCTCTCCATTTCTCTCTCTATCTCCCAGGAGCTGCTTTTCAGCGTGTGTGCACTGAATGTTATCTCCACCATTGTGTGTGCTCTGGCCACAGCCGTATGCTGTATGCAAATGGTTTCTACTGATTTACTACAGATGGTAAGTGTGATCCATACCACAATGTGTGTGTGTCTTTCTAAGTGTGTTAATGCACATTACATCATGGAGATAAGATCAGACGATCAAGACAAGTGAAAATGTAATAGTATAATTAGCGAAATGCCAGAGAAATAGTCTATATTATGTACTTATAACCATCAAGAGAAAAGGCAATTTAATCAGATTTCACTAAGTGCATCTTATACTGCCTAAATAATGTTTTTCATTTAGCACAATTCAGAGCAATATCTGAACAAACCATTAAATATATCCTGTGACTTATTCTTCAGACATGAATTGCGAATAGATTTTCATACCCTTTCCCAAGAGAAATCGGATTTACTTAAAATAATCAGTTTAATCAGAAATGAATGTTAATTTTTGGATCTTCCTATCCTTTTTTTCTCTTTTCAACGATGGTCATAACAGAGTGGTCTTTGTAAAATGAGTTGACTTTAATTATAGTAAGGAAACCCATTGCTTTTGTAATATGACAGTAAATAAGCTAAACTGAAAAGTATTTGTCAGGCATATCTGAAGTATCTGAGTTACAGAGACCTCAGTTATGTGAACATATATTTTCACTATAGTTAAAGGGATAGTTCACCCAAAAATGAAAATTCTGTTTCATTTTCTGACCCTCTTGTCATTCCAAACTTGTATGAATTTCTTTTTATTGCGGAACACAAAACAAGATATTTTGAATAATGCTGTCAGCCAAACAGTTTCGGTTCCCATTGACTTCCACTGTACTTTTTGTCCATATAATGGAAGTCATGGAAACAAAACTGTTTGGTTTCCAACATTCTTCAAAATATCTTCTTTTATGTTCCATGGAGAAAAGAAAGTTATTCAGGATTGGAACAACACAAGGGTGAGTAAAGCCGGGCTCACACTACAGGAGTTTAAAAATCCTAACCGATTATGCTCACACACACATAAGGAGAATCTTTGCAGATTATCTTCCCTCAAATCTTAAACATGCACACACTACAAGATTTTAACATCGTGGCGCATCACACACTACAAGATATTATTAAGATTATCATGCCAGAGGGAGTGCCTGACGTGATCTCATGCAGCAGATCGTCATTGATATTTCAGTGATGTTTACATATGTTAGCTAGCCTGCTAGCTGCTTTCTACACTCACCCGGTACATTCAAAACTGAGGCGATTTGATTCCAGCACTTCTCTTTCTCCTTACGGTTGTGATACGTTTTCCACACATTATACAGACAGTCGTGTTACTATA